CTCCCCACTCTGTCTCTGGTAAGTCCTCTTACACCTAGACGTCTGGCCTGTACCCCAGTTCTGTATGCATAAATAAGTAAATCTTTTAAAATCTATTTACACATAGGTGCTTTATGTGGGTGGCAGGTCTGGGGACACTCACGTGAGACAATTCAAACTCAGTCTGTCTCCTACCCTGCTTCACAAACAAGGTCACTGGCTGCTTCTTGCTCTCTCGGGGCAGTCTACAGACACCCTCCAGGCTCTCTGACTTTGCCACACTGTTCCTCTGCCTTAGCCTTTGCTCGTGACAGACATCACTAATCAATCACCTATCTCTTTCCTAAGGAGTGCTTCAGAAAGCCAGGGCCAGCTGATCTAAACCTGCAAGGAGTGGACATCTGTCTCCCCCCAAAATACCTTGTGGCTTAGAAGTGGTGACTGAGTCAAGAGGTACAGTGCCGAGGGCCAACGTGAGCTTAGTGGGGGTGTCTGCCACCCCGCTTTTAGGGCTGGTGGTCCAGGTATTGCTTGACATGGTGGGGGCAGGAGCCACAGTGGGAGCCAGAGGCTTGCTTGCCATGGTGATTGCCTCCAGGATCCAGTCACGCAGCCTGGTCACTCGAGCATAGACCCCCGGACGCCAGGCTTCTGCACAACCAATTCCCCAGCTCACAATGCCAGCCAGGAAGAACCTTCCAGAGGGCTCTTCACAGACCAGGGGTCCTCCAGAGTCACCCTAGGAGACAAAGGCATGTCCTCAGGAGGTGCTGGGCTCCCTACCCGACCAGACCAAACCCCTGAACCTCTGCCCACAGACCAAATGTGATTAGTAATCCATGGATCAGAGCCTCAATCCTTTCTCCTGTAAAAAAAAAAAAATAAGGGGCCCTCCCTGATGGTAGCGGGTTAAAGCACAGCACTAAGAAGCTAAAGCCACTTGTGCATGAGTTCGATCCCTGCCTGCCCCAGATGTGGCCCATTTGGCACAGCAGACCTCTCCTGACCCGCCTGCTGCTCCCCTCAGCAGTGTACTTCGTCTGTTCTGTTCCCCACTCTGTCTCTGGTGAATCCTCTCATCGCCCCTGCACCTCAGGCGATGAGAGGTACATACCCCAGTATGCACAAATAAACAAATCTTTAAAAATAAATATATAAAATAAAATAGGACATTTGGGTCTTTAAGGTCTCTCTCAGCTCCACCACTGGCAGTTTAAAATCCAACCCAAATAATCAAATCCCCTCCCCTCCTTATCCCAGTAGATCTTTGATAATGTCACCGCTGGCTTAGGCTGACAGCATGACTGCCATGCTGGAGGCGCCCACAGCTCACTGGCCGCCGGGGCGTTTTCCAGGTCCGGCGTCGCCCTCATGCATCCTGTCTGCTCACGTCCAGCTGACCTCGACTTACACCTTAGAACCTCGACTTATACCTTTAAACACGAGCGCTCTCGTTTCCCAACATTTCCTCCAGCTTCTGGTTTGACATGGCAACTTGAGCACACGCCACCTCTCCCCACCCACCAGACTTCAGAAATGAGCCACGGGTTACACTCAGAAGGGGCCGGTCGCTGTGCTGAAAACCAAGCGGGCAGTGTTGTAGCTGAGCAGAGAATGCGAGGACTCCGCTTCTGAGGAGAGGGCACCTGTGTGCAGGAGGGTCTGGCCCTTTCCCTTGGCCTGGGCAGGGTGCTGTTGGGCCCACGCTCACCTGGCAGGAATCCACCTTCCCGTCCAGGTAGCCGGCACACACCATCCTGTCCGTGAGCGAGTGGCCGTACAGGCTGGCGCACAGGCTCTGGTCCAGCAGCTCCACCGTGGCTTTCTGCAGCCTCTCCGGCTTGACCACTGTCCAGGATGGGAAAGGCAGGGGCAGTGAGCATCGCAGGGCCCCGGGCCGCTGCCCGAGCCGGGAGGCTGAAGGACAAGCCCTCGCTGGGCCTCCAGGCCCTGACCGAAAGCAGAGCCGCAGCCCCATTGCGGAAGGTGGCAAAGCTAAGGCTCCACACACGCCCACAGTGCCCCCTTGCCCAGGCAGCTGGGCAGCACCAAAGTGACACCCAGAGCGGGCTGCTCCCTCCAGCACGGGGAAGCACCTCAAGTCTTCATGGCAAAGTGGGCGAGAGGGTCCCGTGGCACAGAGCCAGCGGACGCCTCCACTCACAAGACCGGGCGGACACAGCCGCTTCTGACAAAATGAAGCGAATTTAAGAAAGCCGCGTGTGCCGGGGCCGTCAGACGACAAAGACAGCTCTGGACATTCACGGCCAGGCACTTGACGGCTTAAAGCACTTTCCAAAACTGCTGCCCCCCGCCGTGGGGGCGGGGGCGAGGAGGCCGGGGGTGGGGACCAGGGCAGCAATGGCTTTCGGTTGTGGTGCCCTAAAATAAACACTAGGGTTCCTGGGAGACTCTGGTCACAACGATTTTGTCGACTTATCAATACAAGACCTTGGTTTTGTGCCTTTCTGTTTAAAGGGAAATACATAGCCTTTTAATTTAATTTATTCTTGTGTCGAAGAACTGGGGTGTAGGTCAGAGGGGAGGGGATGAGAGGATTCCCCAGAGACAGAGTGGGGAGCAGAACAGGCAGGTCCACTGAAACACACTGCTGAGGGGAGCAGCGGGGAGACAGGGAAGGTCTGCTGCACCCTGGGGTCCCTCCCTGGCCGGGATCGAGCTCAGGCAGAGGTGGTGCCAGCCTGAGCCTCAACCCCTGGGCCACCAGGGAGGACCTAGGGGAAGGTTAGTGTGCGAAAGTGTTCAAAGGGTGAGGGGGAAGACAAGCTGCCCACAGGTGGGGGGGCGCGGGAGATGGGCCCCGGGAGCCCCACAATGACCCGCAGTGAGAACAGGAAGCAGGAAGCGAGCCCACAGCCTCCACCCTGGGAACAGGAGACGCGCCTTGGGGAACCTCGCAACTTGCGCTGTTTCCTAGCACCCGCTTCCGGCCGGACTCGGCCAGTCCTTCAGCTTGGGGCCCACTCCTCACGCAAAATCCCCCACAAAGCGCAAAACACCCAAAGCAGCCGCAGACAGGCCAGACACGGGCACCGGTTTGCACTTTGAAACCGGCGGGCGGTCACTTGCTCCGAGGCCGCAGAAAGCGCCCCCGCCCGCTCCCTGCAGAAGGGCACAGTCCCCCGCTGGGCTTGGGGGCGCCGGGGAGGGGTGCGGCGGGCCGGGGCACTCACGGAAGTCCTCCTTGAGGTAGCCCCAGCCCGAGATGAGGCACCTGCGCCCGGCCGGGAAGACGTGCGAGGCGGCGGGCAGACACACGGGCTGCACGCGCCGGCCGAAGGGCAGCGGGCTGCGCAGCTGCAGCACCGCCACGTCGAAGTCGGCGGTGTCCGCGTTGTAGGCGGGGTGCGTGAAGACGCGCGCCACGGGCGCCCGCGCCGTGCCCGCCTCGCCGCCGCTCAGGTGGGTGGTGCCCGCGTAGGCCACCCACTCGGTGGGGGCTTGGAACCTGCAGGGAGCCACCCTCGGCTCAGAGGCCGAGGGTGGGTGGGGTGAGAAAGCGAGGCCCAGCCCGGGGAGGGGCGTTACGGGCACCCCAACCCAGTCGCCGCTCTCTTGGGGGCGCAAAAGGAGAGCCTCCGCCCGCCCCGCTCCGCACAAAACCGTCGCTGGGGGAGGCGGGTGCGGGGGTCAGGGGGTGCAGCGGTTACAGGTGGCAAAACCGCCTTTTCATGCCAGGTTGTAAAACTTGAGGGTGAAGCAAATCATCCCATCACGCTCCCCAACCCGACTGGCCCTGGCAGGGGCTGTGGCCGGATGAGAGCTGTGCACAGTCTGAAAACACCGTTTGCGCCGTGTGTGCCAGGGGACTGAGCTTCCCTGCACGAGCTCGCGGAGCCCATGCGAGGCGAGACCACACTGGACAAGGGGGCGAGGCTGGAGCCAGGAGGCGCCAGGCGCCAGGCTGGCACCACCAGCAGGGACGAGCCCTTTGTTCAGCTCACTGCAAGAAGTCAGCGGGGGGCTGGGGAGTCCTGGTCTAAGCTCAGCCCTGTTACCACCCTGCTGAGTTCCATTCCCGCAGTGGAGGGACCCCCAGGGCCCAGCAGACCTCCCCTGTCTCCCCGGCTCCCCTCAGCAGTGGACTTCAATAGATCTGTCTGTTCTGCTCCCCACTCTGTCTCTGGTGAGTCCTCTCACACACCCCCACCTCTGTCCTGTACCCCAGTTCTTCTACGCCACACACACAAAAAAAAAGAATAAAAAGGGTCAGCTGGGAGTGAAGTGTTGGGGCAGTTTAAGGTATAAACCACCCAGATGGGCCAGGCTGGCAGCTGCTGATTAAAGGCCCCTGGCAGTGGGTGGTGACCGCTGGCAGGAAGCTGGTTAGAGCTCCACCCCTCACCTTCCCCTGGCTCTGCCTATCCAGGTGATCTGTTTTACTGATCGGATGTGTAGTTTTGGTTTTTGATCAGATGCGTGTTTTCGGCTTTTGACTGGATGTGCATAGAGCAGTTCTTTGCATTCATTATAATTTTTCTTTTTTACAGCACGGCATGAAAATATTATTTGTGAGATGACTGTTTTGGTGATGCCTTCCACTCCCCCCATGCCCACCCCAACCCCTAAGCCTGTGTGGCTGGACACTAGGAGCCACAGGTTCAGATTTCCCGGGTGTGATAGCGATGTGATGGGAGTGGGAGATTACTGCTTATTTCTGAAAGGCCCGCAGGAGACTCACAGGGGTGCTTCATAGTGTTTGCCACTTAATTTCAAATGATTTGGTAAAAAAAAACCAATACAACCTATGTGTGTGGAGGGACAGAGAGATGCAAGTGGATGAAAACAGGTGAGAGGAAGGAATATGGCAAATGTACACCTGTTGAAATCAGAGAACACAGTATTCAGTGTGCTATTTTTTCATCTTAATATTAAGTATCTTAATATTTAATATTAAACATTGAATTAATATTTTAAACCATTACTATTTTTCATATTTAATAAAATGTTGTGAGAAATAAAATTTTTAATTTAACAGGTCCTCTGTCCTCTGTCCCTGGGCTGTGGCTTCTGGGGGCAGGGAAGTGGTCTCCCCAGTGGTTAACTCTCTCCAAGGTCTCTTCGAAGGAAATGAGTAATGCCCCGCATAGACAGAGGGTTCTAGAACCTCTCCCCACCTCTTGGCCAGCTCCATCCAGGAGCTCATTGTATTAATTAAAGGTTCTGATCATCTGCAAACACTGCAGAAAACATGATTCAGGAATGAGCTAAGACCTTGAATAGATTTCACCAGAGAGAATATAAGCACAAGACAAGACATTCAAGCCACGGAGAAAATACACATGAAGACCACAGTGAGATCCTGCATGACACCCACCAGGCTGGCTAGAGTCAAAAGCCAGCCAATAATAAGTGCTGGCGAGGCTGTGGAGCAACGGGAGCCCATACACACTGCTGCTGGGAATGGGAATCGGCACCGCAGCCTCCAGACAGTCCTGTGGCTGCGGTAGAAGCTTAAACGTGGAAGTACGTATGATCAAGCAGCTCTACTTCTGGGTCCAGACACAAGGACGTTGGAAAGAGGGGCTCAGACAGCTACTTGTTCACCCACAATCACGGCAGCCAAAGGTGGGAACGAGGGTCCAGAAGGATGAACACACAGGCAAGACATGTCCAGCCACACACCAGAACGTCCTGCAGCCTAAACAGGAAGGACGTTCTGACTCGGCTACCACGGGGATGGACCTGGAGGACGTGACGCTCAGGGACACAGCCAGACACAGAGACAACCAATGTGCGAGCCACAGGAGCCCTGAGGAGCCACAGCCACGCAGACAGGAGGGAGAGGGTGGTGCCGGGCCTGGGGCCTTAGTGTTCACAGGGCGATAGACAGTCCTGCAGAACAGTGTGGATGTGCTGACGCCGCTGAACTGAGTGGTTGGAAGCATACATTTATATAATCTTAAATGAAATGAGAAAAAGAATGCACGCAGACTGAACCGCAAACGAAAGAAAGAAAGAAAG